TATTTGTTATTCACATGGTTAAGTTTTATTAATTTTCTTTCCATATTTTCATTACTAATTTAATAAAATTATATATATATATATATATATATATATATATATATATATATATATATATATATATATATATATATATATATATATATATATATATATATGACTCCACTGCATCGTTGTTTGGCTCCTCCATTGTCTCCAATTAGAGACTTCTAAGTTAATATATGGTTATACGCTCTATGTGTTTGAAGAAATGTCAAGAAGAGTTGTTCTTATTAAGTTAAAGATTTGCCTTTGAAAACTACAGGAGGAGCAAAGCCGCACCGTTCTTCCGCATCTCCCATCCACCAGTTTGTTTGAAGACGAGTGACTTGAGCATTCGTTTTTGGAAAATTTTGCCAAGATCATGAACGAGGAAGGAAAAAATATGGTTCTCTACATTCCAAAGAAGTGCTCCGCCACAAACAGGTTGATCACTTCTAAAGACCATGTTTCTGTTAAAATCAATATTGGTCATTTAAATGAGCAAGGTCTATATCTTGGAGGCCAGGCCAGACCACCTATGCCTTGTGTGGATGGATCTGTATAATAATGGTTTTTTTATTAAAAAAAATAATTTAGTTTTATTATATTATTTTTAATTTTTTAATCGATTTCATAAACAAATTTTTTTTAATAGCTAGTTACAGTAGTTGATGCTACAATAATGTATAACTCTATAAAATTATTCATATTTATGTATAAATAGTACTATGGTTATAAACAATTAGACATAATCCTATAAAATCCTACTGATAAATTACATTAAAATCTATCAAATTCTGCATAGACTTAAAGTAGTCTATTGATTTTACATAATTCATACACTTTAAACAATTTATTGAAGTCTTTCAGAATTGTGATTGAATACACTCCTCTTATATCTTATATGAGAATAAGTACCACTTTATTTTAAAATGAATATTCCTCCATAATCCATATTTACTTTCAAAATATAACAAAAATAAAACCGGCGTCCCATTTCCATTTGTGTCAGGTTGTCATCACTCCCGTTTCTACACTCTACCGACTGAACTCGCCGGTCTCCAGCAATTGAAAAAAGCCCTCTTCTCTGAACCCTATCCCGGCGTGCCATCTTCATTGCTTTGCCCCAACCTCCGGCTGTCTAATCAGGTTCCTTTCTGCCTTTAAACGTGTTCATCTCTCTATCCAATCGATGCTAAAACCAATTCATCTTGTAGGATACTTTCCAGATTATAGGAATTGGGTCGATTCGTTAGGGTTTCTGCCCACTATTGGCTTCATAAGATCTGGAAATCTATGATATTCTTACCATGTCTTCTTGCTTCGATCTTATATTTAGTTCTGCTTTCCAGAATCTGTTAATTCAAGGCATTTACTGTTGTTTCATCACTTAAAAGCTTTGTCTTTTCTTCTTACTTTTTTTAACAGGAGACATGCATTATGAATTCATAGTTACATAGACCTAATTGTTGCCTATTTGCCTTCCTCTTACAGTTCAATCAAGTTTCTTCTTCAGACTTCAATGCGATCGGATCGAAATTTCTGAGAAGCGAAAATGTATATATAGCGTACAGATTTGTGAGGTTCTCATTTTTCTCATTTAAGTCCCACCCAAACAGAGCAAATGGGAGTGATGGTTGCGTCAGATGTGTGGGTCCCAAATCCTGCACTGTACATCTTCCTCTTTGCTTCATGTCTGATGTTGATATGTTGTTTCCCAGCCAACTCTAATGGCAGAACATCCAATGTATTTGACCATTCACACTCACCCTCCTTCTCTAGCTCGAAAAGAAGCTTCCTGTTCCTGTTTTCACTGACTTCAGGTAGAATTTGCAGTTTACTCAGTCGTCATTTGTATAAATGAGAGAGCTTTTTATGCGTGTACTTTTTACTCCAAAAGAAGGCATTTGGTAGGAAAATGGAAGAATTGTTTCTAGCAGTAAAAACACTTCTCATGTTACTCCGTAGTCTGTATTATTTAAGAATACTTTTGATAAAAACACTTAGACCATGAGTTATCCCATACAGGCTATTAGTGTGGGGTGGAATACATGTATTCTCTAGAAACTATTGCTGTTCATTTTAAGCTTGGTTCATTTTTTTCACTTTTATTGAAAAAATGAAGTTTTTTTACAGTGATTGAAGGCTTGTGGTCAGTGTTTGGTGAGAATGAATTGATATACTATGGAATTAGCAAGGACGGGATGGTGTTGTGGTTGTGTCTTGGATGTGCAGCTGCTGTCTTTCTTGGCTCCTTTTTGGGGGTACTGTCAGATTTGATGTAATAAACCTAGTAATTCTCAATTTAAACCTTACTACACTGTTTTCATTAGGCTATGTTTGGATCCTGGGAAATACTAGAGCATGGGAAAAAATGGTTAGGAAAATTATTCTCTTTTATTTGATTTTACCTTGCGAAATGGAGACAAAAATAAATATGACTGATTTTTTGAATATTTTTACACACATAAATTTCTTAGTTAGATAATAGAAATAAATAAACAACATAATTTTTTAGTTTTTTCCCTGAATTTTCTTTCTATCTAGTTTTACTCCATGTTCTCTTACAGTAGTATTTTCTTGATTCCAAACGGGCCCTGAATGAAATTCAACCTTTTGAAGTTCATAGATATTGTGGGTTTTTAAAGTTATTAATGACCAATTTCTTTAAACAAAATGTGTTTGATGTTTTCTTGCAATTGTTTTTAATTTTTATGGTTGTGTTTGCAGTGGTCAAAGGAGGTTGTGTCTGTTATTTTTCATGCTGCACCTCTTTGTAGTTATTTGGAGGAAAGTTATTGCAAATCCTAGCATTTGGATATCCAGTATCTGCCTATCTCTCGCATCTTCAATATTTTACTTCAATTTCGAAACACAAATGGTAGTTGAGCTCGAAAAGGTTTGTGTCAATACATATGCCAGTTGTTAGTGCATTGTACAATTTCAGGCTCCATTTTGTAGCCATACTCAAATTATTCAGCTTATTCTACTTATGAGCTAAACAAATAGATTAAGAAAAATAAGATCATGTTTGGTAATAATTAAAATGACTGAATCTGTTAAACTTGTGGTTAAAATGGCTGAATCAGTTGAATATGTTAAATGATCTAAAATATTGTTTAAGAATACATTTATCAAATAATTCTAAGAAAATATTGTCTATAAGTGAAGGTAGAATAGCCATTTGCTTTAATTTTATCTATTTCAAGTTAAAAGTATTTAATTAACTACTTTTTTTCTATTAGTCATGACTCAACAAGCAAGGTGATAAGTCAAAAATGGGTTTACCAAACAGGCTCTAAGGAGCTTTTACTTGTTTTGCTGAAATAGATGTTGATTGTTGCCAAACCCTTTTCCTTTGTGAAAATGCAGCAGCTTCAGTCATTTCTGTCAAACAAACAAGTACCAAATGTATCCCTAATGTTTATCATTTATATTGCTTTTTGATGCTGTAATAGAGGCTAATGACAAACTAATCATGCTTACTTGTAGCAAGGTCTGAGGCGTGATGCATTAAATGACATGTTTTGGCTAATGTCCTTTTATGAATCTGCATCCTTCATTGTTAGCCAAGTGCTCGGGAATTGGCTCATTGGTGGTACTGAAGGGTCAGCTGTTAACTTGCTTCCCACTGCTGCTGCAATACTATCGTTGGTTGCTTTGATATATGCAAGTCAAAGGTTGAAAGAATTCCCAAGAACTACCAAATTTGAAGATTATAAAATTAAATTCCATTCATATATCTTAATGGGTATGAGATATTTATTATTATTATTTTGATTTTTATCTTATTATTGTTATAATAATAATTATTCTTTTAGCTTTCTCTTGAAAAGCTCTAGTAACATACATTTAGCATGCAAGGGCCTGTTTAGTCACATACATTTCATCCAACTAAGAGCCCATTTGGTAAGGTCTAAAATGGCTGAAGTGATTCAACGTGAAGTTATGGCTGAATTATCTAAGAAACTATTTCACATATGTTTCTTCTATAAATTAAATAATAATCATATAATATTAAAAAATTAAGGTAAATTTGATTGAATTTTAGTCATTTCAGCGACAAAAGATTAAGTTGGCATTTTCCATTAATGGCTCAGATAGTCAGCACAATGAAAATATGAATTAAGTTGGCATTTTCCGTTTGGGGAAACTGATAAGCCAAAAGAATGCTTATGAAATGGGCTCTAAGCATTTAAAAGCTACATATTTTGCTTTTTATGTTGCTAACAAAATAAACTGATTATCGCTACCAAACGGAGCCTAAGAAAACTACAACCCAAAGTAGGGTCTGGGTAGAGTCTGTTTCTATGAGGCCAAGGAAACTAAAAAAAAGTAGGATTTTACGATGTTTAATTTTTTTATAGCAGCATTACTATTTTGGGTAATGAAAATCCTTGAACTACAATACACCTACGGCCCTACTTTCCCATCACTAATGTTTTTATTATTCTCTCCTTATCACTAAAGGAAAAAATATCAATTGATTTCTTCCCTTATTTTTTTGTGCCAAAGCCTATGTTTTAAATTAAATAAACAGTAGGAGCATAAGAAGCACATTGCTCTTTATACTTCATAATTTATAAAAAGTAGACAAGATTTTATTAGTGATGAATTGTTTTTGGCTTTATGGTCGGCTAGATAGAAGAATATGGTTGCTTTCATGGGTGCAGGCTTGTGTTCACTTCTCAAGTGTAGTCTTCTGGATTCTATGGGCTCCAACTATAGTGGTATACTTTCAATAGAGATGGGATTCTCTCAATTTGTTTCTTGACTTGCTAGTGAATTTATTGCTGTGATTAAAATAGGGTGATGGGAGGGAGATGGTGTTAGGTTTGGTGTACCCTTGTCTCCTTGGTGCAAAAATGCTTGGAAGCTCTGCATTTCCATGGTTCAATGGACCATTATCACTTCGAACCGAGGAATACTTGGTTTACACTTTTGTTCTTATGGGCTCTCTTATGTCAATCATAGCTTATGACTACCAGGTATCTTCATGTTTTCTTTCCTTGCATACCTCATATGTATTAATACTTGGTGTTCCATCCTAAAAAATCAACCTTAAACTCTAATGCATTATATCTTGGTTTATAATTTTATATTTGACCGATGTGGAATGGCTAACAATGCACACCCACCCACAAATGACACCAAACTTGACATCTGTTGAAGTATCCTACATCTAAAAAGGGATCATGTTCCACCCACCATATAAAAGCCGTAGAATACGAGTGTCAGGACTCAGCCTAAAACTTAGGCAATAAGGTTGGGAAATTCACCATATTATATTGTGGTTGGGTGGACTATAAAAGGCCTATAATGCTAGCTAGGTTGGAGTGGGGGACATCGGAACCCATCCAAGAATATAATACTGTAATTTGAATAATGAATATGAAGTCCAACTATCAACTATAGCTTTTAATTGAAACGAAACAATTCCTTTAGCAGCATTCATACTTGTGATTTAATTGCAGGAAATTGAAATGCTTTTGATACTGTTCTGCTTATATCACGCCTGTTTGGGACTGGTTTTGCCTTCACTTGCCAGATTAAGAACAATGTAAATGACACATCTATCCTTTTCTTCTTTAACACTATTGGTCAAATCTCAAGGCATTGGACTATTTTATGTTGTTTTTCTTTAGGCTATGTTTGTAAGTAAAAAAAAGGTAAGATAAGAGAAAGAAGTGCAAATGAAAATCATTTTTTTCATTTCGTTTTACCTTGGAAAATATGAAGAAAAATCAAATTTCATTAAAACATGTTTTCTCTCTTGTGTTGCATAAATTTGGATTTGTCAGTCACATAGTAGAAAACTGAGATTGAGTTTTTCATATTTTCCCCTCCTATCTTTTTCCCCATCCAAATTCCCTCTTTTTCATTTCTATTTTCTTTGCTAGTATCATCTTTCGAGTCCCTAAAAGGCCCTTGCAAGATTTGTCCTTGATGCAGAATTCAATTTACTCTTGCAGGTTTGTACCAAACGAGCTTCGTGCAGGCATGATGAGTTTATCTCTGGCACCATCAAATGCCGCACTCTTCTTCTTCCTTGTGCAAGTATGGATGGTTCGAAGAAACGTATCCATTTTACAGATCACAACTAAATTCCTTTTTTGGTTTCGTTTATTGTCACTAATCCATTTGTTTTGCAGCGAGGTTACTACCATAACATTGAAAACTCAACCGTTATAGCATTGGGGGCTCTTGGACTTTTCACCGCGGCTGGTTGCATGCATATGTTAAAGCGAGCCGGGAAGCAACCCCATCAAAGCTGGATTAAGTTATGATGTTATGGGGTCACCAAATCTTCCAAGCCCTTGGTTGAGGTCATTACTGATCCCTAATGTCAGTATTTAGTGAGCATTAGAAACAAGAATTTGCTATATATCCTTGCTAGTTAGTTTAGTAGGTTTCCATTGTTTCATGTGATCTTTGTGCTAATAATGGTTTCCATATGAGGTTTAAACCAACCAAATGTGCACTAATTTCTCTTGTTTCATGTGAATTTTGCTAATATTACTATCTTGGATTGAATTCTCAAACTATTCTCAGAGTGGGTGAGGGGGAAAAATTGAAATTAGTTGTTTTTTATTTTTTTAATCTAAAAATATATTATCAAAGTTAATTTACTCCGTAATATATTTTGGAAAAAGATTTTTAGTTAAATTATACTTCGTAGCGGAAGATGATTGAATTAAATAGGTTAAATATGAAATTGTTATAAAATAACGAGTAAATTTAATTTTAAAAAAGATGACAAATTACAATGTTTAAAATTATATCAAAAGTTTATGCTAACAATATTTTATTTTATCAAATGATTATTGAAAACATGCATATAAATATAAGTTATCGAGAAGCTCTAATACTAAACAAGAAGAGAGATATGTGACAGATGAACTTCTATCTGTAAATATTCTTTTTGTGGACTATTTACACGGTCAAATTTTATTCATTTAGTTTTATTATTTTCACTACTCATTTCATAATATAAATATTCATGTTACTGTTTGTTTTGTTGAAGTTGTAATGCACGAGTAGTTTTTAAATATATAACTTTATTATAAAAGTTTATATTTACAATCAAATAAATTGAATTGTAAATAAAATCGTCAAGTCTCAGAACGCGTAATGAAAAAAATATTTTCAGACGAATGGAATATACGTTACAGATTTCTATCATAGTGATGGTGTAAATACCATGCAAATATAAAGTACAAATAAGCGGAAGGGCGGTAGGTGGAAACACCTGTAACTCGATTTGTTATTAATGATAGTAGGATCGTTTACAAAGTATGAGCCGTGTGGATTAATTAAAGCATACCTCACAAATGAGACTTTTAGTCCTATTTATAATAATGACTAAGCACGTCAAGTACGTCTCTGTTCTTCAGCCCGGTCAGTCTCCAACCGGTCAAACATACATGCCTTCGTCCGACGAAGCCATGTCCGTGATTCCGAATCTTCTCACCCCTGACCAGTTAGACTATCCGGACTGACCAAGTCACTGGGCGCTGGATTTAATACCTCCCGGTCGGTACAAACCTACTGGGTAGAATTAATGGGTTATTACCCATCACATAGCAACTTTTTAGGCATGTACAAATAGCACTATATTTATTAGTCCATAACTTATTTCATTAACAAAATTTTTAGGTTATTATTAAATCCACCCCATATTTAGTTATATCTACTTCTTTTTGTACCAGATAGACAAGTGTCCCTTTTAATGCTTGATACTTTCTCCTTCCAAAAAAATCTTTTATTGGATTGGACACAAAGTTTAAGAAATATTCGGTATAACATTCTATGATTAAAATGGTGCAGAAAAAAAAAAGAAATATGATTAGCCATACAAAATTTGTAAAAAATAAAAAGATGAATCTTTTTTGGTAACAACAGTGTGACATACAATAAAGGAGTACTCAGTAAAATGACAAAAATGTCCATTTCTTATAAATAGAATGAATTTATCAGCATCATTCAATTTTTCAAAGGTAACAAAAACTCAAACAATCAAATAAGAGTCCAAAAAATTAGCTAAAGAAAGGTAAGAGGCCAAGACAAATTCAGGCAGATCCAACCGAGTTAGACCCGACCCGTTTTCAGCATCCCCTCCCCAAATCGGACCCCATCGGGTAGAGATTTCCAGAAGAATGCAAATTTCTTGAATTGGAAGGAGAAACAGAGATTATGCAGTTCAAAATTGTTCATATTGGGAAAGAGGAAGGAATAGCACAGAATTAGAAATACGGTAACTGCAGGTGAGCTCAGTCTAGGTCGTCGGGGTTCACTGCAGAGATGAACGGCGGCCCGTCTGGTTTCAGTACGTATTTCCCGATCTCCGTCGTAGCCGCTCGCCCCCCCTGTTTTTACCCGGTCGTTTCATTTCTCTAATCCATGTTCGTTCTCTGTGTGGTATAGACAATGCGCCGGCGACGAGAGCTTTGGTGGTAGCTTGTGCCCTCTTCACGATAGCTTTTGGGATTCAAGGCCGTGCTAACAAGCTTGGATGGTCTTATCAGGTTTTTTCCCCCTGCTGTTCATTGATTTCTCCTCTCTGTATACAAATCAGTGCTTCTTTGAGAGATCATTTTGGTAGAATGCTTGCCTCGTTCTGCATTTGATATTAAAAAAATTTGGATTTTTTTTAATGATGCACTGTTTTTTACATTCCCTGGTTTATAACTGTGTTTGAGCAGGTGTTACAGCCTCTCTGCTTCCGAGTAGGGAGGATAGGATGTACACAGACCTTACCTCTGGTTCTTTAGTTGTTAAGGGTGGAGACTAGAGAGGCTATTTCTGATGGACCGCAATCTTTTAGAATCATACCATACTATTAGGATAGCCCCGAGGGCATTGGTTAGGAAGCTAATTGTGATAAAGTTTTTATTGCGATTAATTTATGAGGGCATTGGTGAGAGCATTTTTCCATCACCAAAAAAATCCATTTCACCTTTGGTTTGTTAACATAAGATGAAAATCTTCATGTTTTCACTACTCACCTTTCGTTTCTTATGTGACAGGACATCTTCAAGAAACTCCAACTTTGGAAGCTAGTTCTATCAGTGTTTTCCTTTTCATCTACCCCAGAACTAGTATTTGGAGCATACCTTCTTTATTACTTCCGTGTCTTTGAACGGCAAATTGGTTCAAATAAGTATTCTGTAAGTTTTACATGAGATTTTGACATCTTATCAATTCATAATTAGAATGCCGAAGCAGGAGCCTGTTATTTCATTTCATAACATATTCATTTTGTTGTTAACACAATCTAACTAAAACTTGTACTGAATGGGAAAAATATCAAAGAGAGCTATGGAGTACTTGTTTAGCATATTGGTTTTAGAAGCTCATATTAAATGGCCATACATAAATCTTCTATTAAATGGGTCTATCTGAATAATTAGAGATTTGTATTAACCATTTACACTAATATATGCAGTGGATGTGATTAACGTGAAGTATATCAGAAATATTTTCGAAGATAATTAACTTTTTGGGCAGTGGGTGGGGGTGGGGGGTCGGGTAGGAGTGGACATAATTCATACGCGTGGCTTGATTTTTGGTTTCTTGTATTTCTATCTCTTGTGTGTTTTGATAGGTATGTCTCTTTCTTGCAGATATTCATCCTGTTCTCTGTGGTAGTTTCTTTTCTGCTAGAGGTCGTTGGATTAAAAATTCTCAAGGGTATCCTTTCAGTTTTGTTCATCTTAAATTAACATAGTACTAATTCACTCCACTTCACACACATGTCTTGTGGACATTTTCAATCTGGTGTTTTGCTCAACCAGTCACTTTCCTTGCTTATTTAGGCTATGCTTCTAATGCGGAAAATGGTAGGGAGTGGAAAAACAATAATGTTAAAGAAAAATGTTTTTTACTTTTTATGTTTGGTTCGAAAAAATAAATTTTGGTTATATTTCTAAAAACTTAACATATACTTATATTTTACAAGTCTTTATTTTCCTCCAAAATTTTATTTATTTTCAAATCTCTTCTATATTTTACTACCCTAGCATTTTCAAGTTCCAAGCAGGCCCTTAGTAATTTTTGTTGATGTTGTCTTCCTTGATGTCCTTTATGTTCTTTGACGAAGTAACTTCTATTGGGGGTCAGTTTATGTAATATCAAAATATATTTTAATGGTGTTCACTTGTTTTCTTTATTTATTTTAAATGAAGTCACATGTTTTTGGCAGTAATGTACATATTGATTTTGCAGATCCTTCATTGAACGTACTTGCATCTGGGCCCTACGGTTTAATATTTTCATCATTTGTACCCTTTTATCTTGACATACCGGTTACGACACGCTTCCGTGTGTTTAACCTCCACTTCTCTGATAAGGTGTTTATTTATTTAGCCGGCCTTCAGGTAATTCTTTGTGCATCATTATTCTCTTTCTGAAACCTGTAGGAAACGTTTCCTGTTTGTTTTCTTGTAATGTTTGTCATTTGTACTGTTTTTTTGCAGCTTCTTTTTTCTTCCTGGAAAAGATCAATTCTACCTGGTGTGTGTGGAATTCTTGCTGGCTGCTTATATCGAATGAATGTTTTTCGCATTCGAGGGGTGAAGGTACTGCATAAAATAGCAGCTTTTAATCTAGTTTAGATCAGTTTTTTGGCCCGTGATTATTATCCAACCTTCATTACTCTTGATGATTTATTTTCAAGTAATAAGTGATATTTAGAGGTAGAAAAGCACGTTTAACTAGAAACAAAGCACTTGGAAGGAAAAATTAGAATAGCTTGTAGCGATAATTAACAGTTAACACTTTTAATTCTTATTTTTAAAAGTAGCAGATTTCTTCTTTTTTGAAAAAAAAAACATTTTGAGTGCTTAGATACCTTATGATAAAAGCTCTTGAGCCAAATAAACACTTGAGCCATAAGTTATCCAAACAGGCTCTAAAACATGGTGTGCTGCCGGCACTTGTGGGTTTTATGAGTTGCTAACATGAACCTATGTTCTGAATGCCCTCTTAGTATGTCATACCTCTTTCCACGAGTTCCTATATTTTACATCCTTATGTACGGTGTTTATTTGTTTATTGTACATTCGGCATATGCACATTTATAAGTTACCCATTATTAATTTTGCTTTTATTTCTTTGTATATACTTAAAGCATGCACGTACGAAATTGATGTATGGATTCAATAATTGCACATTTCTCATTTCGTTGTTAATTTTTTCATTGTGTCATAATAACACTTCCAGTCCATATATATAAATGAATTCGTGAAAATGAAATTGAAAACAAATGCACATTTATTTGTTTTTATACATATTCAGATCGTGTACAATACAAAGTTAGTGTATGCACATTTACGAGTTACATAATACTCATGGGATATGCAGGAAATTAGGTACATTGGGATGTACGGTATATTTCGCCTCTTTATACAAATCTAAACTGAACTTATTTGCTCAGTGCAAAACTTGGACTCTGCATTTCATATATGGTGAAATATTTTCCTAAAATTTTTGTTAATGTAATTTGTATGCTTACTCAATATATTTTCATTGTGTTTTTCAATACAAACACGGGCTCATATTCTTTATCTTTATTCTGTAATTTTGTTATTGCATTGCTTATGGTGCATATGTTTTTCTTCATACAGTTTCCAGATTTTCTTGCTTCCTTCTTCTCTCAACTCTCTTGGTCATCCATACGGAGTACACCATCAACAACACCAAGGAATGTTTCAGGACCCGCACCACCATCCTTTGTTGGCCCACAAATTGGGGTAAGTGTTAAAATAATAGCCTGATTACCAACCCCACCCCCCCACCCCACACCCCGTCAAACTGTTGCACCAGTTCACAATTCTGTCCAAATTTTGAAGTCATTTGACTATGTGCTCTTTGTTTTTTATATTTTTCGTGCTATTGTGTTTATTTGTTCATGCTACTGCATTTGTCCGTCTGTGTTTGAGCCGGATGTCTCTTGGAAATAGTATCTCTACTTTCGAGGTCTAAGGATTGCATACACACACCCTCCCTAGACCCTACTTTTTGTGGGATTTTACTAGGTTGTTGTTGCAAACTAAAAATTCTCTTGGAATATCGTTATTCTTGTAAAATCTCAAATTTCTCTCGGAGTATTGACATGAATTTTTATATACAGAGTTTGCATGAATTTTTCATCTTGTCCCACATTTCTTCACATCCAAATTTCCCACCCCATGTGTCTTGTTGTTTTGGCTTCAGGGTAACCATCCTGCTCCTCCCCCTCCATCATCATCTTCTGGAGCAGAGCCACCGGAGGAATCCATAGCCACACTGGTATCAATGGGCTTCGACAGAAACTCAGCAAGGCAGGCACTGATACGCGCCAGGAACGATGTCAACGCAGCCACGAACTTCCTTTTAGAATCGCATTGACCCCACACATGCCAGCTGGAGGCTTCTAGAATTGCTCACTCCTTGTAATATTCTGTCAAGCAAAACAAAGGGTACTATTCTTCTTCTTTTCCCTTTTGCATTTCCCTGTGTAACCTCTCATCTTGGTTAGTGTTAGCAATGCCTGTTTAAAGACCAGCTTGAAGAAGAAGGGCTTAGAAACCAATACATACAGAGAGTATTAATATATGATCAACTTTGGAGGTTGGAGTAATATGCAGATGTGTTTGTGTAATATTAGAGGTGAACTTATCTTAGCTCGAATGATTTTCGAGCTTCTAAGGGTGGACTCTGATACCATGTAGAATTGTGAGATTCGAACACAAAATCAATTGATAATGAGAGTAAATCATATTACTTCGTATTTCTATCTTCGCCCCAAACTAAGTTGCATGTTTATTATTCATATGGTCAAATTTCATTCATTTTTTTTATTTTCGTTACTCATTTGATAAATTTATATAACCATCTCACCTCTTGTTTTGTAAAACTATTCATGTAATTTTTTTAATATGTAAATTTTATTTTTAAATTTCGTACCAATTCTAAAAATACCCAAGTAAATTATATTGAAAATAAGTTTCAGTCAAACATCGTAAACGAGACACATGATTTAAATTGGACCGGAGGGAGTATATATTACTGTTTTCTAGATGGGTATTCCATGTGATGTCATATCTTCAACTACCACATTGGTTATTAAGAAAAAACTATCTAAACAAGACTAAAACAAAGAACTTAGTGTTGGCAATGTAAAAAGTTTTCAATTTTTCATCACGTGTTGGCATTTTACAAAGTTCATTGGTGTAATTTCGCAAGTTGTATTTTACTCCGTAATGTATTGTGCATTTTGCCATTTTCTAATTCTAGAGAGAGAATTTTTTTCTGTTATTCCATAAATCGGTTTAAACCTTCACTAATGACAACGACAACGAAGAACGACCACCTATAACATGAAATCTATGTACATACCAAGCACGAACTTCGTTCCTTATTTGTCGAATTGAAATTATGATTTTACTTTTGAAAAAAAATATTAGAATTATAAGTCGACCAATTTTACCTTTGTTTGAGATAACTATTGTCTATTTACTGTTCCAAAGAATCTTCGAGGTGATTTTTTTCCTTTTCTTTTTCTAAACAATTCAGGCAATTCAGCTAATGGTTTCAATGGGTCTGCTTTAACTTTTTAGATATTTCAGATTTTCAACGTCTTTAAAATCATTGGAAAAAAACAACTGAGACAGATTATTTTTTTTTAACGCCAGAAAAGCTGTTTGAAACCCAACAAAATATGTTCCTACGTTAGATATCCTAAAAAAAAAAAAAATTGGTCGCATAATTACGGCCAGAAACATATAATCATAAAAGAAGCATATGCCATTGCCATATGACATTAGCTTTTTCTTCTGCTTTTTTCCTTTTCGTCTCTATTATTCACCTTTTTTACTATTCTTTATACAAACTCAAAAGTTAATTACATTCTACTTTATATTTTACTGTCCATCTTTTGATGTATATTCCTTCCGTTATGGATAATATAAACTAGTTAATAATATTATATCACAATTCACAAACTTAAAGTTAATTACGGTCTCCTTCATATTTTACTGTGTACATTTATCTCTTTAAAATATCTATTTTAAGTAATATTAACTCTGTGACTCCCTCCGTCTTAAAATGATATTCCCTGTTCAGTTTACGAAGTCAAGTATTTTCAATTCAATTTATTTGATTACAGGGATAAAATTAATATATATATATATATATATATATATATATATTTTAAAACTACATTAAAAATTCTACAAAATAAGAAGTGACATGACTAACAATGAGTCAGTGTCGCCACTGAGGTAACTAATTTTATTATTCATCCAGATTCAATGTATCTAGTTCAGTAGTATCCCTCTTGTATAGTTGTTTTTTAATTTAAAATCCACAAAAGACAAGTTTGTGAAGTTTGTGAACTATATGTTTGTGAATCTAGCATTTTCCCAATCTTAATCTTGTAGAGTATGGTTGAAACTCTAACTCAATATTTTTATCGTTTTCTTCTTCAATGAGAATATCTTTTATGGCGAAATAAATTTTGGTATTTGACTTCATAGAGCTTAATGAACGTGGTGATAGTTTAATGTAACATTTTTTTTGTATAATTAAAGGATGCTACAAACAGCTGCTCAATGAGAAATAGACAAATGGGGACTAGAAAAAATGATACAACGAGAAATGGACAAAGTTAAGGCTTAGAATTGAAAATGAAAACTCAACTTGTCAGATTCTCTTAGAATATAAAACGCTTTCACGATTTTCAACCACGAGATTAAGCTTTTAATTGAGTTATTTTTTTTAATATGATATTAAAGTTTTGTTTACTAAAAACTAACGAGTTCGAAGCTCACCGTTAGTAAATTTTTTTTAAAAATTAATTTCACATGTGAAGTTAGAAACGGCCACAAAATTTTTCACTCTCGCCTGCACGTGAGTCATGTTAAAATGTACTCCGTATTTAATATTTCCCAAGCTTCCAACCACAAACTTTGAGGACCTCCGTACTACGATATAGAGTAAAAAAAGGTGAGATAATAATCAGAAAATTATTAAGGGGTAAAATTATTAGAGATAATCATGATATTTTCTTGTTCAACATCTCTAGGATCTTGTCTTCGTCCCTTTATCCTTTTTAACTTCAAATATATGGACATGCTTTTTATTTATGCCTTAATTCAAGTCGAGTTTAAAGTCATCAAAACTGAAAATCTGAATTCGCAGTAATATTTTTCACTAAAATCTAAAATATAGGATATATAAAAATTAGAGCCTAAACTCGAGATAAATATATCAAAAAATAAAACGAAACATTATGTATTGTCAAGTGGCAACTACTATAGAATGTGAAATAAGTGCAGCCAACGTAACGTAACACTATTGTGTTAAACTTATCCGATTAATGAGAGTAAATGTTGATAAGGATAGACCAAGTATGCTGAGCCAAACATATATATATATATATATATATATATATATATATATATATATATATATATATATTATTTCGATTACAATTTTTTTCTCTGCAGTCGATAACTTTTGTTCATTTACGCGATTTCATTAAATACTTGATAAAATAAAATATTCTTGTCACATCTTGTAGAAGTTTTGACGTATTTTTTTATATGTAATTTTTATTTTTTATTAATATACCAGTTTGTAAATAATATGATTTCAAAAAGTATAAAATTCTTCCTTGTAAACCTTAATTTGTAATCAAATTGGGGATGTAAGGAGTGTGTGTGTGTGTATATATATATATATATATATATATATATATATATATATGCATTATCCATAGATATAGATATGATTAGTTGAAATGGCAAACTGATGTAACGCCAAAGCACATCCACATTATATTGGCGTGCATTCCCTTTTACTTCCTATATATTTGTACAAAATATATGCATATTAAATATTAATGTCATAGTCATACCAATTCATCCCACTTGTTGCCTAATTCATAGCCTAAATATTTATCACTTGTATTCCTGAGCTAAAATATTAAATTTTTTCAATTCATTTTATTTACATATTGGTATAGAAATAAAAATAAAATTTACATATCAAAAAAACTACAAAAGTTCAAGAATATATTTTATTTTATCAAATAACTAATGAAAATGTAGAAATAAACAAGAGTTCCCGCGACTGCTGAAAAAGTAAGTGTGACAAATATTTTGGGACAGAGGGAGTAATTTATTTCCTTCTACTAGTTCATAAATTTTATGAATGATTCCTAATTTTAGGTTTTAATTTTTAAAAATTATTTCAAAAATGGACATTTACGCAAAATATGATAAAAAAAAATCACATATAATCTTTGAATGACCAATTATGAAATAGTTTTCAAAATTTTAGGTCATTTTTTTCTAATACCTTAGAATTGAAGATGAATAATAGAAAAACACATGTGATGCCTCCCATTGCGCATGACTTCTCTATGTACACCTTTAAACTTGTGCCTCCCTAGCTGTTTGTAATGCCTCCCCTACATCTCTATACCTTTTGACTGGTACATAAGTAGTCATTCTCACGGTTTTTTATCTGAGTCACTGACATAACATATATTTTTTAAAAAACGATATTTCATCCATTTTCCATTTTTTAAAAAATAGAAATTATAATAAGTTTGACTCAAGATGCATAGAGATATAGGGAGCATTCTTGAAAAAATATTGAGATCTAATAAGTGAAGGGCAAAAGAGAAATAAAAAAAAAAAATTAAAAAAAAAGAAATATTTGCATTAAATAGCACTAGAACTTAAGTCATTTCTCTAACTGTATTATTTCACATGTTTTTTGAAGAGAAAAAATAAATTTCTGAAGAGTCTTTGCAAACCATATGAACACAGTTTACTCTGATTAATTTGACTATACACTCTGATTAATTTTTTTCAAACCAATATGGTGCAGCACATGCAAACCATATGCAAACCAGTTTGAACACAAGGAAATAAACCATATGATGAAAAAAGGCATAAACTAGTTTGAACCATACATGCTGCCAGACTGTTGTGCTGCTGTTTTACTTTTATTTTTGTCAATGGTTTGTACTGGTTTGTATTCTTAGTCATGTGTACATCAATTATCCCATGGCGAAGACCATGTGGGCTAAGTAACACTCGAATGTCGTGGGCGCTTGTGTATGTTGAATACGTAATAAGACTAGGGTATGTGGTTCTCCTAACACTAACTGGTTTTATAAATTTTGGTGGCGTCTGATGTCCTATAAGTGGTATTGGAGCTAAGGTCACGAGTTCGATTCCCGAACTGATGAGAGGAGGTTGTTAGTCATGTGTGCATCAATTGTTCCGTGATAGAGGATATGATAGCCAAGTCACATTCAAATGTCATGGGCACTTGTGTGTACTGAATGCACTATAAAGTTAGAGTATGTGCTTCTTTTAACATTCAAATGTCATGGTCATGAGTTTGATTCTCAGCGGGAGCAATTGTTGAGGGAGAGATTGTTGGTCATGCTTGTATTAGTTGTCCTGTGGTGGAGGTTATATGAATCAAGTCAAACTCGAATGTCCTAGGCGTATGTACTTCTTTTAACATCAATTGATTTTAAAAGTGTTGGTAACGTCTAAAGTCCTTTACATATCGATGCAAAATTTTTGCAAACCATCATGTACTAATATTTTTCAATCGGTATCGATAAATTGTAAAATCTCATCACATACCAACAACAACAATAACAAAAATCTCATACTAAACCGACAAAATCAGTTGGTATCGATACAAGTCTAATCTCATCTCATAATGTACCATACTCACTCCTAGTGTTACATAACCACAAAATCTTTAGCATCCAATCATCCATAGCACATTCTTTATAGTGCATACATATTCTTTATAGTGTAGTAGAGCAATTAGTGTTTGGGTAGTATATTCCATTATTGCCTACACTTTCCCTCCAACTTTATTTGAGTTCCAGAGTCTCATTAACTCTCTCCGTCTAATAATAATGTTCTCACTCACTATTCACGAGTCAAATTTTATTCACTTTGTTGACACATGTTTGTTGCTTATTTGATAAAATAATATAATCATGTCACCTCTAGTTTTATAAATTTTTTCATGTATTTTTAAATATGTAATTTTTATTTTTTATTTTCATACAATTGTTCACAAAAAATAGTTCAAGCATATTTTCAGACAAACATCGTAGTGGGCAACGGGAACATTATTGTTGGACTAAAAGAGTATAAATTTAAAATTTTCTATTTTATAGTTACTCCGTATAATTTTTTTGTTTAGACTAAACTAAAAATCACATTAATTAAATATCGTAAATTAAAAATAATATTAGTCGTAAACCCAATCATAGAATCTTTATTGAGAGTAAGTAATCTTAATCCACTATGAAAAAATGTTTCAGAATAGTCAGAATAGAGGGAGTGACATAGCTTTTGGTAGTGTTGCCCCTGAACTACAAAACTGTGACATTTGACCCAGACTTTCTTCTTCTTTTTTCTTTTTTTCTAGGGAACATTTGACCAAGACTGCCCACATAAAAAACAGCACCAAATGCAGGGGTCTTCTTTCTGTAAAGAGAATTCTATGTTCAAAATGCTAGGAACTATCAATTTTACGAATGGAATAACGCAAGAACCCAGGTCATAATGTGATTCGAGATAAGGGTCAAAAAATCCTTACCGATCTATGTTATATATATTTTGAGATAAATGTTACACTTTTCCACATGAACATACATAAAAAAAATCTCCCAAGGATAAAATAAAAACAGCAATGCCATATTTGATCAGCACAAGAAAAAAAATCCCCTTAGATATATATAATAACAAATGTTTGTCTTAATTCATAAACACATTCCACTGATTCCACAATATATATTTTTCCCCATCCACATACCAAAAACAACCCAAACATCATCCAAAACTCCTCTTGAAAGTAAAAAAAATGAAATAAATATCAAATGTAAAAAAAAGAAGAAATTCTATGAACAAAACATAACTTGAAGCACCAGGATAATAACCAACCAAACAGGGCACTAACAGAAGCAGTACAAGTAATGGCATACTATTTTCTTTCATTCCAAAGGCTTGGTCTTGGACCTGTAGAGAAGCTTCTTCCTCTTTGAAGTCTGGTTGTTGAAGGTTAGCACCACCTTCCCTGTACTGTCTGCTTTGTAGGTTGTACCTATTATGGTCTCGTCCGCTGACCCGATCTTCCTCGGCTTCTCCAAGATGATGGTGTAGGCCCCTTCGTCCGCCGGAACGAACTCAGCTCCGTACGACACATCCCACCCTATCACTCTTGCCTCCCAAGCTAGACTGCTATTCTGCAACACCCCCAAGGCCCAAACACATCACATTAAAAAACTCCTAAACTTGTTCGCTCGAGCCTTACACGTGAGGGTAAAATGGTAAATTTGTTTCTTTACCTCATTAACGGGAAACTCGAGGGTGTGCTTGGAAGTAGGCTTGATGGTGTCTTCGGTTGCAGGGTCAGCGGTGGTGAACTCGTAATCACCCTCCCGGCTAAGGCCACCGTATTGGACCGGAACTTGCTCTGGAGCAATGTACCTTAAAAAAAATTCCAAAAGTTGAAAAAGATGTACCCTAGGCAACACAAATAAAATGAATAATAGATACAAAAGAGAGAAAAAAAGGAAGAAATGAATGATAAGAGGACTTATTTACTTGAAGAGGGTCTCAGCAGATTTAGAAGGGCCTGCAAAGACAAACTTGCTTTTGGTCCTTGTGGTGAAAAGGGCATTGATCATCTTATAGTAGGATGGGTACCACCATGGAACATTGATGAACACCTTTTTACACATCAATAAATTGCACACACTTTAGAATTTTACCATCCTTAAACCACAGTAAGGGTAAAAAAAACAAAGTAGTACATAGCAGCCATATACACTGCAATGGTAGGTTAATATTAATAGCATAGCAAGTTTTTTCTTAGCAAGGTAAATTTTATATTTGCCTGAAAAAAAAGGCTAGATTCTACCCCTATTGAGTCCTTGAACTTCATGCTTTGCTAGTTGTGCCTATTCTTTGTAAGCATTTGAAACTTAGGGCATGTTTGGATGGAGTACATCATGGGTATACGATGAATAGTATAGTGGTATATGGAGTAGTGGTTATGATTAGCACTAAGTCACTAACTGTTCTAAACTTCTAATGCAGATTACTTTTGAAAATGATAAACATAGAGGATGGATATCCATATATACTAAAGCTAATGCCAAACATAGCCAGAAAAAGATTGAAACTTTATAGAAAAAAGAATGAATGCAGATTAACATTGAAAATTTTAAAGCTAAAAAGTAGTTATCAATTTTTAAAACACAAACTAATGCGAAAATAAGGGTTAATTAATCATTGATAAAGATTAAAACTTTAGAATCAATGCATATTAACTTCGGAAATGCTAACGGTAAAAAATTGATATCAATTTTCAAAAAGCTAAAGCTAATAACAAACGAAGCCTCAATCAATGATAAAGATTGGAACTTTTGAACAAAAAATCGATGCAGATTAACTTTGAAAATGCTAATGCTATACAAATGAATACCAATTTTCATAAAGCAAAAGCTAATACTATAAACAAAGCCTTAATCAATGATAAAGATTGAAACTTTAGAAGAAAAAATGAATTGTGATCAAATTTAGATACCTGTTTGGCAACAAATTCTGGGTAATTGTCTTGGAGCAATTGGAGGGCTCTGTTAGTGGCCTGGCGAAGCTCCTTCTTGAAGAAGAAAAGACCCGGCGAGTTCTTGAGATCAATCACCTGAACAAAGGTGCAAATCCCCTCCGGGCTGAAGTCAAGATTCCTGATTGACTTCTCCATGAACTGAATCCGCCATCTCAGGAATCTGTTGAGCTTCTCCTTGTCGGAGAAGGTGCTCTGGTACAGCTCTTTGTCCTGAAACTCTCCGAAAGAGTTGTAGCAGATCGGGTGCCCTTCCTTGTCGGAGCCGTTCATGTAGACAACCTTTTCCAGGCCTTGGCCCAGATCGGATTCTGAGAGGAGATCTTCAATTCCGAAGTGTTTCCGCCACAACACGACGTTTTTGAGCATCGAGAAGGCTTCTTTGACCCTGAAATCGCGTGCCCGGAGAAATTTCAGGAGGATCACGTCGCTCCGGTCGTCGGAGAGCAGCGGGATTCCCCAGATGGAGACCTGCTCCGGTTGGGTTTCCGTCTGTGCTGGGGATGTTGCGGATTCTACGATTGTCTCCTTGATTTCCTCCGCCGGTGCGACGGACTTCTCGTCGATCTTCTCCTCGGCCTCCGCCGTGGCTGGTTCTGGGATCGGTTCCTCTGTTTTTTCTGCCTTCGGCGGCTCTTCCTCCGCCGCCGTCGCAGTCGGAGCCTCAGTAGCGAGTGGGACGGAATCCTCTGTTTCTTTCTTCTCCGGCGTTGGCTCCTCTTCGGCTGCCGCGGGCTTCTTCTCCTCCTCCTTCGCCGGCGGCGGGGCGGTGAACTCGTGATTGTTCAAAGCCTCCTGAATCAACTGTTTGAACTCATCCAAAGCTTTCTTCTCCGGGTTCGGAAGCTCCTCCACCTTATTGCTCTCCTCCTTAAATGACGTCGATTCGGTGACCGGAGGCTTCCCCTTTTCTCCTTCCGCCGCGGCTTCCTCAGGCGCTTCCGCCTTCACAACCGTCTCAGGTTCAGAACCCAGGGCCTCCGGCTTCTCCGCCACCGGAACATCGGAAACGGCCACGTCCTTAGCATCGGCGGCCGCTGGGGCCTCCGGAGCTGGCGCTTTATCAGTTTCTACAGCCATATCAAATCGGAATCCCAAGAAAATATGACCGGAAATTCAAGAAAATCTGATGGGGATTTCGAGAAAATCTGATCGGAAATTCAAGAAAACGATAAAACCTTGAAGAGAATCCAATGGAAATTTCAAATTCAAAAAGACGAGAGAATTGTGGGGGGTGTGGGAACGTGGCGGAGAAGAAGGCTTAATATGGCCACCGAAGCAGCGGGGTGGGGGGTGGGGTGGGGGTGGGGGTGGGGGAGGGACAGCTCAGTTTGCCAGCTTGTCTCTACAGTACAGTAACGGGGCCCATACCTCCCCTTTTTTCAAAAACTTATAACGTTCACTCCTGCTCTTTCATTTCATAAATAATTGAACATGATTATTAATCAAAATGAAATTGTCTGATTATTTTATGGAGAAGAAGAAAAACATTTTTTGAATTTTTATCAAAGAGAAAATGAATACCCAATTCGTCGGTTTTTGATATTTTTATATTATTATTTAAATATTACTCACATATTTTCATCCATTATTTTCATCTTTTATAATGTTCGAGGACTATTATGCCCACTGTTTTGATATTGTTATTTTTTTAATTAGCGTCAAAAGTTTTTTAAAAAAAAATTTAGTGAAATAAAGCTTATAAAAAAATTGAATGGGTAAAACAGTGGGCATGATAGGAGCAACATGATGTCTGGTGTTGATTCCAAACAGTTGGAAAATGTTTTGGGGTTTTGACTTCTTCTTTCACATATGCTAATTTAATAATGCATTTTTCAACCTTTTAGGAAAACAAATTGAATAATTATGAAATCCCTTAAGGAGTATATTTGGCGTTGAAACTTTGAATGAACCAAAATTTATTTTAAGTAAATTAGTCACTCAATTTTATCTCACCAAAAGACCACATTCGCCAAACATGTGTGTTATACTCCCTCCGTCCCGAAATAAATTACAATATTCCCTCACATTTTTGTCCCAAAAAGAATTACAAAGTCAATAACTTTACAAGAAATTGACTCTTTTACCCTCTCACTCCTACACAATTCACACACTATTCATCCATGTGAGTGGGAAGGATGGGGGATTTGGGGGTAATTTGGGGAAAAATAATTTGATTTGACTCTTCCTTAATTTCAACAAAAAGAGAATATTGTAATCTAAAGTGAGACGGAGGGAGTATATTACAAGCAAACATTATTCACTTAGGGTTTATTTGTTTTGTTTATAGAAACAAAGTTGGATGTTTGAAGAAATTGAAAAAAGATGGCAAAAATTAAAAGAAGTTGGAAAAAGTGGAAAGAATTTAAAAATCTTAGAAAAATAAAGTGCTAAGAAAACCACTCAAATAAATGTGTAAACAAACTAATTTTACATAAAAAATGAATTCATCTTTGTCCGCGTTTGAACATGTATGTTATAAATTTGGATGTATGATGTGGTTGTATATTTAATTTGTCATATGTAAATACGTTTTTGGACGTTGTTGAACAAAACTAGAAGGTTTTGAAGAAATTTGAAGGAGTTGAAAGAAATTTAAAGACGGTTGGAAGAAATCAGAAGTTAGAAAAAATTTGAAATTCATTTTTTTCAGCCACGTGAATAGACCATTTGTTTAATTTTACTACACATTTCATAATATAAAAAATTATTTGATCTAATTACTATCTAATATATATTTTATTCAATTATAGGTCAAAAGTTATAGATGCTAAAAAATCATTTTATCTAATCAATATATAATATATATTTTATTCAATTATAAGTCAAAAGTTGAAAATAATAAACTATAAAAGGTCAAAATTTGACAAATAATCATGAACGGAGGTAGTAATTCGTAAAATGAACTTTGTATTTCAAGTGAAATAGTGTTAACATCCCAATATTCAACTAGAATAATACCATGTTCTCTTCACCTAGTCTTAATGGTTCTGATCTAATCTGAATGTAGTTATATTTAAAGATATTTCTGATCTGATTTGAAAAGAACATGACCTAAACATGTTAAGATGTAATCTTGTTTTTTATCTTGTTGTATTATAAGGCAGAGATCTTATTTGAAAAGAACATGACCTAAACATGTTAAGATGTAATCTCGTTTTTTATCTTGTTGTATTATAAGGCAGAGATCTTATGTCTAAATAATATTTTCTTCGTTCTATAACGTTCTTCCCGGTTCTGTTTACGAAGTTTGACCGACTTTATTTTTAATTCAATTTATTTGATTGTAGGTGTAAAATTAAAAAAATAAATTTATATATTTAAAAATTACATCAAAAGTTCTACAAAACAAGTTGTGACAAGACTACATTTTTTTATCAAATACCTAATGAAAATAGGTAAAGAAAGTGATTAAAGTTTGACCGTGTGAATAGTAAGTGGGAAGAACATTTCAGGACAGAGGGAGTATTATCTCGATTACATATACTCGTATTTTTTTCTTTCAAATGTTGGCACATAATATAAAAATATAGTCTTATTTTATTACTCCGAATAAAAAAATATTTTGTTATATGCCAACAATAACATCCATATAGTAGAATACAAGAGTGTATAATTTTTGTGAAAATCATATCTTTAAATTCGTGTTTAAACTCAGGGACTCTTTGGTAACTTCTGAATGGGTAAGTGCTGAACCAGTAAGAGGTCTGAACCATTAAGTGCTGAACCAGTAAGAGGTCTGAACCATTAAGAGCTAGTATATTGTTTAACTATTCAGAGGCAAATGTCTGATCAATTCAGATAAGAGCTCTTAACCATTCAGACTCTGTATAATACTTAACCATTCAGAGGCAAATCTCTTAACCATTCAGACATCTGAACCATTAAGAGGCTGAAACAAACAGTCTGAACCATTAAGTACTGAATCATTCAGACATCTGAACTATTAAGAGGCTGAAACAAACAGCCCCTCAATCAAATTTGTGTATTTTACTCATTTTTAAGGCTACATTTCCAAATTGGGTTGTGCAAAATGAGTTGGCTGTTTTTGAGTGGAGCCCAGCGTTGCCAAAATGTATCATCACTTGTTAATGAAAAGACATTTTTTAAAATATTAAATTAATGGAAAAACACATTATATTTAAAAATAAAATATGTTTTATATTTTTTTTGAAATATATTACTCTCAAAAAGGTTTACTCATTTCATTTTCTGCGCATCCCATAAAATACTTTTATCTCTTCTCAAATGCGAAAAAAAACTTTTAAAACAATTTCTACTTACAATAAAAGGTAATTTTAGATTTGAATAAAAGTGTTTTATGAAATTTCAACTTTATCCTCTATGCCTGAATCTCCAAATTAAATGAAAATAAAAATAATCTCTGCCGAGTCCAGCGGAAAATTGGTGGCATTACACTCATCACCAACTTTAAATTTGAATAATTAATTAATTAAAGGAGAAAATCATATAAATAGATCTAAAAACATGTTATTTTACAACATGTAAAAAAAATGTCATATGTGGTCAATCCAAATATTTTAAATATTTACACTGTATAATATTTAATTTAAAATATAAATTTTTTAATGAAAATTTTAATTCCGATATTACATCGCAAAAATACTTTACTTATTTTTTGTCTAAATAAATAAAGCACTCCGTAAAACAACATGTTTCTATAGATATTCACATTAATTTTTTCTCAAAAGAAATTTAAAAAATATATAAACAAAATAATAATAATAATAATAATAATAATTAATAAAATTGAAGGAATTAATTTAAAAAGTATCTAAACGCGGAGAGTGTAATTAAATTAATTAAATCAGCATCCTCATTATTGTGTCTACATAACAGGCTGTCAGAGATTAATCCCATTATTCCAAAATCCAGCCAAATTCTTCTGCAAGTGCAACATCAATTACATCCAAAAACGTTCATTTCAATTCATTTTGGCTTGTCACATTCATTTTTAATAAAAAAAAATACTCCTATAATATTGTGATTTGTTTTCAATTTGAATATATAATTTTATTGTATACTCATCATATAAAAATAGCATTTTTAAGTCATTATTGAAAGAAACTGAAAATAGTAAAATGCGTGGGAAGAAATACAAAAGAATTAGAAAAAATTTAAAATTAACTTTAATGGATTAGTATGGAAGTTCATATTCAAAGTTTGCGGACTTGAGAACAAGATAAGGAGATAATCATTGGCATTGATTATATGAAAGAAAGTTGTCCATCTCTTGGCCATTTGCAGTTTGCACCACTAATTATGTTTCTTATCAATCAATTAATTATTTATGCACTAATTATTGATCTCATTTAGAAACAACATTTTTGATCAAAAATAGCGTTTAAGATAAAATTTTCATGTCATATATTAATGTTGAAAATGCTAACGCTAAAGTCTATCATCGGATAGTCTTTTCAAAATGTTAACGCTAATCTTTTACTTGTGAAATATAGACATTTTTTGTATATATTTTATATGAATTAGTAAATAGATCTTTTATAAAACAAAACTCACTATAGATAATTAATTAATTATTTTATATATTAAATTTATAAATTGAACATGAAAAAGAATTTGTCTCGTATGAATCAAGTTTGCGTCTATGGAGATGTCGGGCACTCGTCCTAATTTGAATCCAAAGTCAAATTTGACTTCAAAGTCAAAATTAACTTGTGGTGTGCAATTGAAGGGGGTAGGGGGTGTCTTCGGGTCGGGTCGGGGTGGGGGTTTATCGGGAGTAGGAACTGTCAATTTTACAAACGGGGCACCGGAGCACCTCCGGTCATTCCATGACATTGGATTCCAATATCATGAAAACCTTGGTGATTAATATATTCCCGTCCTAAAACTTAATATTTAATGTTGAAATGATACATACTCCGTATGTATTTGTTCAGAAAAAGATTAAAGTAGGAATAAAATATTGAAAATATACTCAAATTAGAGTTTCATGTTTTTTTCTCGAAATATGAGTTAAAATAAATTTACAATATTAATCATGACCATGTACATTACCAAAAATTATTGTGAAATGATCATATATTATCACATTACCACAATGGGAACTCTATTTTATAGATAAAAATACTCCGTATAAAATTTTCACGAGTATTTCCAGTGCTCTAAGTGTGTGTGTTTGATGTACGCCTAAGTGTATTCTTTTTGTATTTACTCCCTCCGTCCCTAAATATATCTTACATTTTCTTTTTCAGCAGTCGCGAGAACTTTTATTTATTTCTACGTTTCATTTACTTATTTGAAAAAAAATAAAATACTTTTGACACCTCTTATTTCAAATGAATTGAAAAAAATTAATATTTTATCTCGGTAATAGAAATGTGACATATATTTATGGACTTAGAAGCATGTTACTATTGTAACGGTTACTTTTAATTCTGATTAATGGCCCGAACCCCGATGTTACAGCAAATTCTCTTTTTACTTTGACACATCCTTTTATTCGTTTGTTTTATTTTTTAAATTTATTTTATTTATAAATACTCCCTCCGTCCTATAATGTTCTTCCCGGTTCTGTTTACGAAGTTTAACCGACTTTATTTTTAATTCAATTTATTTGATTGTAGGTGTAAAATTTAAAAATAAAATTTATATATTTAAAAACTACATCAAAAGTTCTACAAAACAAGTGGTGACAAGACTATATTATTTTATCAAATACCTAATGAAAATAGGTAAAGAAAGTGATTAAAGTTTGACCATGTGAATAGTAAGTGGGAAGAACATTTCAGGACGGAGGGAGTATGTATAAAATTAAAAATACAACTTAAATACAACAAAGTTTAATGTTGAAAGATATTGTAAAAAGTTGAAAAAAACTAAAAGAAGTTAGAAAAAATTACAAGAAGTTAAAGATGTTAGAAAAAATAAAATGTTAAGCAAATCACTCAATTAAATAATCGCTCGAATGAACTTACTACAAGTTCATAATTTAAAATTATTCAGGGCCTGTTCTTTAGGATTGAAAAAAGACAGCATGTTGGGAAAAGCTTAAAGGAACGAGAAGAAATCAGAAAATTGAAAGAAACTAGAAAAAATTGGAAGAAACTGAAAAAATTAGATAGAATTGGAAAAATGTGAAAAAATTAGAAAATCTAAAAAAAATAAAAAATTTATTTAAGTTTATTTTTTATGTTATTCTCATACTAATTGTTGCTGTTATAATTTATTATTATTGTTATTATAATTATTATTATAATATTCACAATCAAGTTATCTTAATTAATGTCTTTAAGATAAAAAAATATTGCCATTTTTCATACACAAAAATCTTCTTTCACGAAAAAATTAGAAATAAAGTTAGCATAAATATTAAAATATTAAATTACAAGTTCGCAGTGAATATTGCGGAACTTCTCGCACATTGTGCATCGATCTATAGCTTACTCCATTAATTACCATAAATAGGACTAAAACATAGAGAAAAGTACCAAAATAGGGCTTTCATGTTTTTTCCCCGAAATAAAACTTCACACTGTGGCAATGTGATTGTAATGTAGCACTATACATGTACATATTACTATATTTTTTGGTAATGTGCATGACCATGTTTGGTAATGTAAATGCATTTTAAGTCCTATTTCGAGATTAAAAACATAGAAGTCCTATTTTGGTATATTTTCAATGTTTTAGTTCTACTTTGGTCTTTCTCCCTTATGGAGAAAACCCAAAGTAGGACTAAAACATTAAAAATATACCAAAATAGAACTATGTTTTCATTTCTGAATTAGGACTTACATTACCAAACGTGGTTATGTACAATACGAAAAAGTAATGTGCACATGTACAGTGCTACATTAACACAGTGCAAAGTCTTATTTCGGGAAAAAAAACATAAAAGTCTTATTTTGACACTTTTCTCTATATTTTAGTCCTATTTAGGGTGATTTCTATATTTGTTTAGTTTTGCGTATCAAATATTAGTGTAACTATATATAAGAATATGCAATGAATTAAAATATAAAAATTATTCCAATTTATTGGTATCGCAAAAAAAGCCTTTATTGAACTATTTTTAATAATTTTTCGTTAATACATTTTAAGAAAAATTTTTGCTCAAATATTAGAGGCTCAAAAATATACTACTCTCCGTCGCTAAATGAATTATTCTTTACGTAAACCGAGGTGAAATCTCAAAATTTTTCAATTCATATTATTTAAGATTGGTATAGAAATAAAAAAAAGTAAAATTTGCATATTCAAAAGAATACATAAAAAATTCTACTCCTTCTGTCCCAATTTATATTGCATATTCCGATTTACGATTTTGACTAGAATTATTTTCAAATCATTTTATATAAAACATGGGGTAGAATTAAAAAATAAAAATTACTCTATTAATATACCACATCAATAGAACTACAAAATTAGTGGTGACATGACTGGTTTGTTTTATCAAATGACTATCGAAAAAGTAAATAAAGTTTGACCATAAGAACAGTAAACAGACAATTTAATTTGGGACAGAGGAAGTACAAAACAAGATATGATAAGAATATTTTATTTTATCAAATAATCAATGAAAATATACAAAAAACTCATGTGATTCTTTTGAACAGTGAAGAGCATAATTCATTGTGAGACTCAAAAGCTAAAATCGTACCCAGCAGCGGGTGCACTTGGCCATACAGTCTCCCTTACAATCCACATTGAACCCAAGCACCTTTGGATTCCGGCGAAGAAGCTTCTTCAGAGGTTTCCCTTTGATTCCCCAATCCCTTTCCAGGGCCTGCACATTGTTCTTCAGTTCCCGTTCGAGGCTGCAACCCAGGACTTCCGGGAACTTCTTCAGTAACTTGCGTACGTCATCATCATCGTCGTCGTTGTCGTCTGAGAGGGTTAAGCTCCTCAAGTACTCTAATGTTTTCATCACAGTTTCCAGCTTTGGAACTTCCCTTTCCCGTTCTTCGCTCCAATAAGGGGAGTGGACCAGACCACATGCCTTCCCCAGGATCTCATCTTCTTCTTCGGCGCTGAATCTGAAGGGACTGAGCGCTTCTCGGCATGCCTCCCAAGATTCGCTCTCGTGTGCACTCAAGTTATAAGTTTGGGTAGCAAATGCGCGGATTCTCAGTCTTTTCGAAGATAACTTGCATTGCCAAGATTCCTGGTTACCGTTATAAACAAGACAATAACAACAATAAACCCAATAGAATACCACAGAAGTAGGGTCTGTGGAGGGTGTTTTTTGCATACATTACCCCTTCTAGGTCATAGAGAGGTTGTTTTTAGAAGACCCGTGGCTCAAACATAGACGCACAAACAAAGTAAACATACAAAGTAAAAGCCAGCACATTGCAACTTCAAATTATGTAATTGCTAGCTCAAAACTTCACTTGAACATCCAAAAAAGGACATCCATATGAAGAGAGGGATTTTTTTTCTCTTCATGTTCTGTTCAACTTTTGCATTTGTGTGTAATCTCAAAGACATGACATTCGAGTTGTTTCCATAGAACTCCTTTGGTAATTTGGATGGTCTACACTAGATACTACTTCCACATCACAGATGACACCGCCAATTTCTCCGAGAAAAAGTATGCACGTGATTGTCAACTTTGGTGTCAACCACGATACTGAAGTATAATTTTTTCGATTTTGATTGTTTTCAGTGAAATGACCAAAATGCACTAAAGTGGCCATTGAAATCACTCCCAACCCTAGTCTCATTTCCAAGTTTCATGTTCGCCGTAGGGCATTTTAGTCTATGTTGCACGGATTCTCCTTTCTGTCCCCCATTTCGATATTTGGAGACTTCCCGACAACCAAATCATGAATGACATGTTTGGAAACTTGGATTTTGTTTTCAAATTCAGATTCGACTCAAATTACATTTTGGAAATCTAAAAAGAAATTGAGTTTGGACCAAAATCTTCACATTCCCAACAAAGCTCAAATTGCAAATTTCAAAATCAAGAATTAAAAACACGAGAATTCAAATGAAATCTGAGTTCTCAAACACTACTTACTGCAATTTTGAAAAGTTGGGTATAATCGGATCCCAATCGGGTCGAGCAAAAGCAACCCTAGAATAGCGTCGTCATCAATTCATGGAGGGAGGGGACTAATCGAAGGAGAATCAAATCACTTACAGTCGAAGAGGCGGGAGGAGGTACAGAATGGTTCCGATGATACTGCAGGGGCAAGAAAGGAGTCGAAGCCAAAGGTTGCACTCCCAAAATCATACCGTATCAGTCACAGTTCCTTCAAAATGGCGGCATCAATTCACCGCTTTCTTCCAATTAATGGAAAATTACATATAAATTGGAATGAAAAATTGACGCTATAAATGAAGCATAGCTCAATGAATGATGAATGAATGAATCAATGACGTCTAACGATAGCCCGAGAGAGAGAGATGGAACCTGCATCATTTTAGAAGCTCCTTTTTTTTCACTTTTTAAACTTTTGATCATATACAAAGGTCAGGCAAAAGTGTTGACGTTTTAAAAGATCATCTAAATTTTAATGTTGGCATTTCAAAAAGTAATCTACATCGTTAAAATTTTATCCAAAACAGTAACACCAATAGAAAATTTTATTCTCAAACAAAGTCAAAATGTTTATACGGAATATTATAGAGTACTCCCTTTGTTCCAAAGTAATTTTTCATTATGACTTCTTACACAATGATCGTTAATAAAAGTCAATAACAATCTTTATCAAATGTTAGCCTACTACTTAAAAAATCAATCTTTAGTCACGGTTAACTTTACATCGTTATCTCTTCCATTTGACAAATAGAGAAAGATTGAAGATCTTAAGTTGCAACGAAAAAAACAACGCTTCGGACTACATTTCAAATCTTGTGTATAAAGAATTTTTCCAAAATTTATAATTATTTTCCAAATTGATTAGTTTAATGAACTTTTAAATGATAAAAAATCTTGTAAAGAGTTTTATCATCCAAACCAATAGTATTTCGATGCAAAGTGTATTAAACTTAGTTGTATTAAATTTAATAAAAATATACGGAGTAATTATTTTTATAATACTTATTTTTTAAAAAACTACAATTATTATTGATCAAAGAATTGTAGAGTTTGAAAAAAAATGTTAAACTGTATCTATTGTTCTGCGACAAGGAGTGTTAGAAATTTCTGAGGAAGAACGTTGCCTCGCAGCATTGAAGAATCGATAAACGAAGAATGAGAATTACAACTTAATAGTTTAACGTTTCGCGAATACGCTTTCAAATCAAAGTTATTTCGGGGTATACCAAAATACTTTAATTAGATTTAATAAAAAAAAAGTCTTTTGAAAATCACCCTCTCAACCATACCGCGCGTCTCTGTTTTTAGAGACGAAGAATCACCGATCAGACATGATTTTTCGCGTAAACTTGCAAACTTTCGCGCGGTAGGGATATTCGCAAACTTTTGACGTTTTGGACGCAAACGTTCAAAAACTTTGGTCAAATTTGATCTCTATCCGAAGATCAAGTTCTCCTAATACTTTGGACTTCGTTCACGAAAATATGAAGGATTCTCATAAAGCAATAATGTCCAAATAAAAAATTTTCCAAACCGTCCTCCGGCCAAGGGCTATGCCCATTGGACTCCCGCCATGGGTTGCCGCCCCCGAACTCCCGCCATGAATTTGTAATATCATTGAAGGAGTGCGTACTCTGCACTTCCTAACTCGTTAGATAACGTGTATTCAAAATTTTACCTGATTTAAGTAAATTCAATCACACAAAATTCAATCACACAAAAATCACCAATAAGGGTAGTTCTTAATTGGACCATTTTTTGAGGTATGACGAAAAAAGAACTTTCCTAATGGGCCTAGCTTACTATGATACTCCCTTCGTCCCCAATTTGATTACAAATCGGGGTTTACGAGGAGAAATATCTCACTTTTTGAAATCATTTTATTTACAAATTGGTATATCGATAAAAAATACAAATTACATATTAAAAAACTATGTCAAAAGTTCTACAAAATAAGAGGTGTCAAGAATATTTTATTTTATCAAATATTTAATGAAATCGCGTAAACAAACAAAAGTTATCGAGAGGAGAAAGAAAAAAATTGTAATCAAATTGGGGATAGAGAGAATATGTGTTTGTTGCGTTGACATACAAATCAATCAGATAAAGTTTAGATTCTATTTCTCCAGTCTCGAATAGATTAAGATTTTCATTGAGGATTGTATATCTTAGGAAGACTTACTCGATCCAATGAATTTTGAACATTTATCTTTTTAGAATAACTAAGATTATGAAAATGCTTACATTTTGCATTAAAATTTTAATATTTCTTTTTGTATTCAATAATTTTTTTTAGATATATATAGCGTTTGTAAAAAACTAAAAGTTTTTGGAGCAAAACAATAAAGAATAATAATAAAAAATGCAATAATATTATGTTGATTTTCATGAGTCTGGCGAAGATTTCAGAGAAATCTTCGTGATGAAAGGAAGAAGAACGCTGAAGGTTGCAGCGTAAAAATAGGAACTGATCCAACGAGAATGAGAGAGAAAAATATCTGGCAGGATTTTTTCGAAATCAACTAAAATACAATACAAGCAAGTATTTATACTCAAGGACTCTAAGCCACATCATCTACTTGTCCAACTCAGCAAATAAGAGAAAACAAATAAAATGAGTTTATCTACTAACACCCCCCCTCAAGTTGGAGGGTGAGCCAACCCCCAACTTGGGCAATATTCGATGATGTATAGGTCCTGGTAAGCTCTTAGTGAATATGTCAGCGAGTTGCGCATGAGTGGAGACATGATCAAGTATGATGAGGCCTTCTTGTAGCTTCTCGCGAACGAAATGGCAATCGAGCTCAATATGTTTGGTACGTTCATGATACACGGGATTGGTGGCTATGTAAATGGCAGCACGACTATCACACTTCACAGGAATATGCAAGATATCAGGAACATCCAATTCAGATAAGAGCCTAGAAAGCCACGCTAATTCAGCAGTAACACGTCGTATAGACCTATACTCAGCTTCTGCAGAGCTAAGGGAAACAACTGGTTGTTTCTTAGCCTTCCAAGATATAGGGCTCCCTCCCAACATGATAAAGTATCCACTTACAGACCTGCGAGTAGTGGGACAAGCAGCCCAGTCTGAGTCACAATATGCTTCCAGTTTGAAATTAGAAGTAGAGCTGAACAA